AGAGTGTGCAATTTTGTCATCCATTGAGTATGTTACTTCATTAAAGACTCCAGTGTAAATTGTAATGTTCCTGAAGTTCTGAGAATGAAAATCTAATAAAGTAAGATCTGTATTCAATCAATGGGAGTTGTGACATTTTAGTCATAGAGTTACATCTGCCAAGTTATAGTCCTAAACTGATCCAATTTATTGCAAGCAAATCAATGAGGTTTAATTTTAGAGTGACTGTATGCCAAGATGGAAAGAATTCTTATTCTTTTAAAAATTGTGAACACTTGCCCAAAACAGCTTATTTATTTATTTTAATTAAGACATTTCTATAGTTGCTTATCTTTCAGCCAACTTTAGATGGCACCCAATCAAAGCTCATCATAACAAACTTAGAGTGTAACATTAATTAATTAATTTACAACATTTATATCGATACCCAGCTCATATTACCATGACTCTCAGACAGCCTACATCAAATAAAAACCAACCAATCAAACCAATCCCCCCCCCATTATTACAAGTAATAAAGTATATACAACTTTTTTTAAAAAAAAAATCCCTAGCCAGCATATCAAATGCATATGATATAGGTCAACCAAACACAAATTCTCCCTCTCAGAAGACATGTTTATTTTTTATTCTGGCCCAGTGACTGAGTAAAAACAGTTTTTAAATATTTTTGGAAAGCTAATAAAGGCAGGGCCTTCTCCCCTTGTGGGATCATTCCAATGAGCAGGCATTAATACAGAAAAGAAACACCTCCAAGACACCATCAAATAATCTTGCCATAAGGACAGGACTTGTAGCAACACCCTCCAGAATGGATGAGACAGGCACAAATGGGGAGAGAGGTCATTCTGCAAATAATTTGGAGTCTCCACCCAATTCAAAGCTGTTAAAGACATAAGCACAATGTTATCTCTTCTTCTTTTATTTAATCATGAAGCCGTGGAGGTGCAATGGTTAGAATGCAGTATGGCAGGCTAATTCAGCTCACTGCCAGGACTTCAATCCTCACCAGCTCGTGGTTGACTCAGCCTTCCATCCTTCCGAGGTCAGTAAAATGAGGACCCAGATTGTTGGGGGCAATATGATGACTCTATAAACTGCTTAGCACTATGACGTGATATAAAAGGCTAAATACTATTGTTATTACTTCTCCTATATATCAGGGGTGTCAAACTTGTGGCCCGCGGGCCAGATGTGTCAAGCGCTGGTCATGCCCACCCGTTTTAACAAAGAGGAAAGAAGTTGTGACAACAACGTGATGCTGTGAGTTTGACACCCCTGCTATATACCATCCCAAGTAAAATTGATTGTTTTTTTTAAATTATTTCAAAATGCCCATATTGATACCAAGTCAATATGAGGCCTCTGGTTTATATACAAATTACTGGTAGAATATGCATTAAGAATTAGAACTATCCCAATTTGTGAAGCTGACTGCATAATGACCAAGCAGAAAATGGAGGACAAGGGGAAAGGAACACCCTGAGCTTTGCCTCTCCTAAATTATGGGTGGGAAGGGATTTTTTTCTTCTTCTTCTTCATCTAGAAAAAAAGTATAGCAATGAAGGAACAACAGTGGATAGATGGAGGGTCACAGACCAAAAATGGCAAGAATCATGTGCTGCAATTTTAGTGCTAAGGTTGCCAAAAGCTTGCTGCTGTTTCTGTGCTTTCTACTTCTGCAGTGATGAAATGTATCTCTTGTGTTCACATTATAAACCCTGCAGATGCTACATTCTTCTATTCATAACGAAAGGGCTTGCATTCTGGAAGACTACTGTTGTCTTAGTGCTTCATAGATGGAAAGGACTTGTAACCTTAATCAGCCACGTGGCATCAACATGGGGAATAGAAACAAGAATATTGTCGTGGCCCCAATGGAGCCCAGTTCGGAGGAGAAGAAGGAGTTGAAACTGGGACCATCTGACAGGGATGGCACTCTCCCTTGGCATGCTTGGAGTGGCCAGGAGATGAGTATAGTGCTGTCCTGGGCCCAGTGGTGGGATTCAAAATTTCTTACTATTGGTTTGGTGGGCATGACATGGCTTGGTGGGCGTGGCTTAGTGGGCATAGCAGGGGAAGGATACTGCAAAATCTCCATTCCCTCCCCACCCCTCTAACCTGCTTCCCAGTTCCATTCTCCTGTGCAGGGCAACAAAAGAAGACCCAGTCAATCAGCTGGGGACTCGGGAGGCAGAGAATAGATGGGGCCAGTCAGAGGTGGTATTTGCCAGTTCTCTGAACTACTCAAAATTTCCGCTACTGGTTCTCCAGAACTGGTCAGAACCTGCTGAATACGACCTCTGCCCCTCAGGTATTGGAGGAGGTGTTAGACCAGACAGAGAGTTGCCTCCCTGCACAGATACAGGGGAGGATCAGCTGCTGACAGGCAGTGGTGTTGATAGGCAGCATATCTCCTCCCCTTGATCCAAGGGCAAGGGGAGCGGACGGTAGGCAAGCATAAAGAAGGGCTGCAAGGGAGGAGGTCGCCCCACCCCTCCTCACAAGGAACACCTGGAATGGGGTAATTTAAGGAGAAGTCATGGGAAGTTAGTCTTTGCCAGGAACAATTGTTTGCTTTGGATTACACTCCCCCGGCTTCGACTGGTGCCTGTTGCTGTTTGCCTTACCTTCAAAGATTGCTCTTCACCTTTAGTCTTGGACCTTGCCCTTCTCTGTGGACTGCATTTGGCCTTTGATTCTTGCCTTGGAGCTTTTTTTTTTTTTGCCATTGTCTTGTGCCTGGACTCTGCCTTATGGACTGGACTTGGAACACTGGACCTTGCCCCATGAGCATGCACCTACTCCATGGACTTTATTTATACTGAAGTGGCTGTTGTTTAGGGACTGAGGGTGGCTGCCTTCAGGGTAGCGTGGGGCTGGAGCCTGACTGGTCATCGGAGGGCCATTTTCTGGATCATTTGTTGAGAGAAATAAAGAACTCTCTAGAGGTCTGCCTTGCCTTGACCAGCTGGGTCAGAACAAATATCCTGAATTATACATACACCTTCCAAATTTCCAAATCCAACATCCAGAATATTATCTAGGCTTAAAGATTTTATTTCTTAATTTTATTTATTTAATTAAAACATTTATATGGTCATCAATCTTTCAGCCAACTCTGGTTGACTCCTGGTCAAGTTTCTCCATTTAACCATGTAGGTTTCAGAGAAAGGGCGGGGTGGGAGGGGAAATAATCTTAAATTTTCCTTTGCTTAAAATTTAGGTTCCATATATTGCAGAATGAGATAGAGAAGTGGCTGTTTCTCCAATGATAGTGCCAATCTTTTAAAATAGCCTTCCTACAAAGCACTCGATGCTACCTTTGTCCCTAAGCTTCAGGGAGACCTTGTAACTGAACTATTCAGAAGGGCATTTGCTGGCTGAAATCTGTTTCTGGGACACCATTTAATAGCTTTAATAGTGTTACTGAAGCTTGATTTTATTAGTTTGATTTATTATTTTATTAGCATGGGTAAGAGACTTTCTTAAGGAATACCCTGTGACAATAAGGATGGCAAAATGAAATTATTTCCGTGCTGTTATTGTGTCTGAAGAACGCTGACCATCAGGCCTGTTTAAGGTAACTTGCTCTCTTAGGATGAGTAGGGGAACACTTGCAGACTCATTGTGAGGATCAGTCTAGGCATTTGTCAGATAAAATCAATTGGATTCACTCAGTTGCACTTCGGCTGCACAAGTTCTACAGGGTTGACTAAGGTGTATCCTTTAGTTATCTGGGGAGAGTTTGATCCTGTTGTCGAACTCTGACGAAGCAGTCAGAGTTCTTGGTGTTATAGATTTGGCCACCTGCATTTTAGATCTTTATTACTCCTGGCAGTAAAGGCCTCCTAGAAGGCCTCCTACCTACCACTTGTGGTGGTAAATATTTCATTGAGGGATGGAGTGCTGCTGCCTTTGTACAAGATATCTTCACTCCATTCAACAGAGCTGGATTGTTTTTAATCCAGGATCAATCTTCCCTTTTTAATAAAACTTTTTGACAAGGTTCCCAATCTCCAGTTCCAAAGGGAAAAAAATGAATTATCTGGATTCTTTTCAGTCGGAATTCAAACCTGGCATTAGCACTGAGGTGGCATTGATCGCACTTGTCAATGACCTCTAGTGAGCTTGGGATGGGGGAGGGCAGTGAATCTATCCTGGCCAGCAGCTTAATTCCCAAGCAGTTTTCAACGTCATCAACTACGGTACTTTCTGGACCAACCTAGGTAGTTTGAAGTGACACTCTATTCTAGAGTGGTTCTCCTTCCTTCAAAGCAGGTTACAATCAGTGACAAAGAAAATGAGGTCTACTCTAAACTCTTTGTAATTATTGCTATTTTGGCAATAGTTATCAAAGGGAAGTTCAAAGACCAGGGGGGAAAGGGATTATGGGATCTACATGCAAATATATGGGACATCTGCAGCAATGGACAGTGGCTTCAAAATGGTGGAAGCAAACAAGTTATGTGTGTTAAAAAGAGATGGCACTTTGATCACCTAGCCCCATTTAAAACCAGTAGCTGTCTCTCAGATGACCCTGCTGGATGGGTTTGTAGGTGGCTCCCCTTCCTAGGCTGAGCACAAACAATACCCCCTACCTATAAGCCAAAATGATACAGTCCAAGTAAAGTCTTACTGTGAATTTTTTCTTTCTTTATGAATTTGAAATAGAAACAAGAAATCGTTTCTGTCTTTGTAATTCAATGTATTATGTGGGAAGTAATGCACTTTTCAAATGTTCTTCCCCAAAGGTTACCCCAGTGACATAAAGACACCATGGTAACAATTGCTAAGCTTTGGTAGACAAAAGTTGGGATGGTTTTGACAGACTGAATAGAAAAGTAAAATAATTAAAGTAGCAATTCTCAACTTACTTTTTGCAGAATAAATAACATTGAACTCAAGTGTGCTTTATTCTAAGTAAACGTACTTAGGACCATATTATAGACGTGACTGCACTGTGACACTGAACAAAACAATTAAATGTTTTTGGTTTGTTCAACCTCTGCTACATGACACACTGAAGTCAAAGGTCAGGGTATCTTCCAGGACATGCTTGTTCATTTTTATTATGCTGTAAACCAAGAATGGTAAGTTCTATTTCCTGAAAAGAGGTAGAGGAGAGATTTCAATTGTTGATCCTGGATATTTGTTTACAAGGAAACACATTTAATGATGACCTATGGGTGGCAATTGTGGACTGTTTTCTTAAAAGCAGAAGATATGTTCCTTATCAGTTTTGCAACGAGTTTTTTAAATGTGAACTGAGCTTGCTGAGTATTCCACTCACCACAAGTAGCTAACAGTAATAATGGAAAAATAAAACAAATCCAGTATACATTTAACTGGCTGGAACAATTATTCACTGACAAAATTTGGCTAAATCTACACGCAAAAGCAAGTAGGACACTCAAATATCTGCAAATCTAGTACAAAAGGCCATTTATAGAAGAAAACCAGGCGAATGTAGTGCTTAAAATTTTTCTGTCCAATTCTTACAAACTCAGTCCCTTTCCATCCATTTTCTCCCCAAATAAGTCTGAGATTAGAAACACCTGCTGCTAAGACCTAAGCAGGAAAGGGATTATGGGGGAAAGAAAGACAGCTAAGAAACTCAGAGTCTAAATATCGCTCTCATAGGTCTTTCTTTTTCCTGATCTCTGGAATCCCTTTTGAACATACAGATTGTCCTATACATATGACCACATTTCCAACATTTCTGTGGCTAAGCAAGATATTCATTAAGTGAGTTTTGTTCCATTTTGCAACCTTTCTTGCCACAGTTGTTAAGTTAATTACTGCAGTTGTTATTAAATGAATCTGACTTCTCCATTGACTTTGCTCGTTAGGTCACAAAAGTGTTCACGATTCCAGGATTCTGCATCCATCGTAACTACATACCAGTTGCCAAACTTCTGAATTTTGGTCACGTGACCATGGGGATGGTACAATGGTCGTAAGTGTGAAAACCGATCCACAAGTCACTTTTTTCTGTCGTAACATTGTCACTAAATGAATGGTTGTAAGTCAAGGACTACCTATACTATCAAACCACCAGAATATTGTCCTGCCATTTTGAGGCAGGAAATCTGAAGACTATATACTCCACGCCCTAACACAGACTTGCTCATTCACTCTCGTGTCGGAAGCTCCGAGGGTTAGCCAGTGACATCACTGTTGCCCCCGGGACGCCAGTTTGGGGGCTCCTCCGTTACGTTGCCCACCAAAGTGGTACCGATCTACCGTATTTTTTCATCAATAAGATGCCCCCATGTATAGGACACCCACAAGTTTCATGTAGAGTAATTAAGCACACTACAAGCCATCACTGCGCAGAAGCCATCTTATTATAATACAAGTGACTAATACAAGAACAGGAAATGCATCAAGGAACAATAGAGATGAAACCTAGAGTGGCAATGTAAAACTACAATAGAGTGGAACGATAGAGCTGCATATAAGGTAGAGGCTCAACCAGCAAAGCTGGAAGAAGGGGGTGGGCCACGCCTTCTCCTCTTGGCCTCCTGTGTATAAGACACCCCTCCATTTTTAAGTAAATGTTTTTAAGAAAAATTAGCATCTTATACATGGAAAAATATGGTAACTACTTGCAGTCACCCTCTTTCAAACTGCTGGGTCAGCAAGAGCTGGAGCAAATGATGGAAGCTCGCCCCATTGCACAGCAGCATCCGGGTCTCAAATGCGGGCTTGCTAATTGTCAACCCACCATCCTAACCCTGTGAGCCACCATGCTGCAGACATAGACTTAAGACTTAAAATGGCACATAAACCCAAGAATCATCAATATTCAGGGTCCCAAAACACTCACCTTCTCCAGCATTTTCTCATTTTCATCCCTTGGCCCTCCAGGATAGATGATCTTGTACTTCTGCCAAGAACACCTGCCCTTGATTTCACCTCTGCTTTTCTGGCCCTGAGACAGTGAGTGGCTTTTAGATAGATATTTGTCTCTCTGGTGCAGCAAATGAAGTCAAACGCTCAAGAGGAGGCTTTCAGTATTGTCAGAATTCAGGCCCTTTTCCCTGCCCAAAGGAGGATAAAGAAATTGGTGGGATAGATGCCAAAAGCAGACTTTTTAGCAGTACAGGAGTTCAGGCCTCTCTCTTCTTTTTTGCTTCATTACTGAGTAGAATGGCTATAAGCCATTTACTAAACATATAGCTGCTTAAGTTATATGTGTCCATGCACTATATATAAGCATTCGCTAGCTATACTTGTTCTTAAGGTAGAAATTATACCTACATGACCCCTGCTGATTAGACCAATTTATTCCTGCGGTCTTCCACGTTGGTAAACTAGATTTCTTTGGAAAGTTGACAAGCTCCTACATTATTCCTCACCAACCAATATGCTCGTTACAAGTAATCATTGACTTGAGACCATAAGTGAGTTTGAAATTACAGTTGTAAGTCATTGTCGTTATTAAGCAGACTGGACTCTATTTTATGACATTTTTGTGAAAGTCATTAAGCAAATGCTATAGTCATTAAGTGAACGTGGTGATCACTAAATGAATGATGCCATCATTAAGTGAATGAATTTTACCGTAACTGGAAATAGTAGCTGAAAAGCAGCAAAGAATATCACAAATTGCAGTCATGTCGCCAGGGAACACTGCAGATGGCCATAAAGGTGAACCAGTTGCCAAAGACCCAAAATGCAGTGACATGACTGTGAGGCATGGGTGGCTATTGTAACTTCAAAATTGGTTCATTAAGTGGCTGTTGGTAAGTGCACCCATAGCAATAGCAATAGTACTTATATACCGCTTCACAGTCCTCTCTAAGCAGTTTACAGAGTCAGCCCCCAACAATCTGGGTCCTCATTTTATAGAGCTGAGTCTGCCACTATAAAAAGCCAGCCTCTGGCTGGCCCACCCATCTTTTAGGCGAGGATACTTGACAGACGTAATGTGTCTCTGGAAGATAAACAAGAAATTAATTTCACCTCTCCCCAACCATCATAACCAGATGTTTAGGGTGGGGCTGGACTCTCTTGCAGCGTAGATAGAAAGGGCGTTCTCAGGTAATTATACCAATGTTTGTTTTCATCCATGCTGCCTCAAGAGTCCAGGAATGGGACATACCAAAGCCTGCATGTCCATGGGAGGGCCAACATCTGGTTCAGTCACTCTGACTGAGGAACCACCTGTTGAAGCACCCTCCGACCAAACGATGCCTGGGTTGAAGCAAATGAATCCAGGCGATAATGCCATATCAACGGTGAAGGTGAAGCCCAGGTAGCCGTTCTGCAGATCTCCTCCAGCGATGCTTGAGTAGACCAGGCAGCCGAAGTAGCCACACTCTTAGTGGAGTGGGCCGTGACATGTCTGGGGACTGGCATGGACAAAGTTTGGTACACTTTGGATATTCAAACTCTAATCCACCTACCAACTGTCAATGGAGTCACCTTGTTCCCCAGGGTAGAGGGATGGAATGACACAAACATGGCTTCAGATTTTCGAAAGGCCGGCGTCCATTTGATGTAAATCCGAAGGGCCCACCTCACATCCAGCGTATGCCACCTGTGTTCCAGTTCGTGTTGTGGTCTGGGGCAAAAGTCTGGCAACACAACATCTTGCACCCGATGAAACCACATGTTTATCTTAGGGACAAACATGGGGTCTAACCTAAGAACTACCCTGTTCTGATGGAAAAGACACAGGTCCATCATACCAAGAGTGCTGCTAATTCAGACACTCTCCTGGCGGAGTTAATGGCCATTAAAATGCTACCTTGAGGGACAGCATTTGTAGAGATACAGATCTGAGGGGCTCAAAAGGGGGCCTCGTTAGAGCTTGTAACACTTTAGGTAAATCCCAAGTGTGAAATCTATGTACAACAGGGGGTCAAAGGTTAGATGCCCCCCTTAGGAACCTGCGCACTGAAGGGTGATGGGACAAAGAAGCATATCCCTCCCAGGGTAGAACAGGGGGGAGAGCCGTTACCTGGTGGCAAAGCGTGTTACGGGCCAGTCTCTTGTCTAAGCCATCTTGTAGGAACATTAGCACCTCTGCCACAGAAGCAGAAGAGGGATGCACCAGGAGTGGAATACCCTCCAAGTCACATCATAAATGCGCATAGTAGACAGCTTTCAGGAAGCTTGAATGGTGTGTGTCGATTACCCTTTCAGGAAAGTTGGAAGCCCTCATAGATTGCTGTTCAAGTGCCAAATGGTTAAGCTGAACCACTGGGGTTGTTCGAGTGAAGTAATGCTCCCTGATGCAGGGAGATCTTGGATGCCGGGATCTTCCATAGCTGGGCCACAGACAGGTTCACTAGATCTGCAGACCAGGGTCTCCTGGGCCACTGGGGCACCAGGAGAATTAGCTCCACCTTTTCCTCCAACAACTTCCAAATTACAGCCGGAATAATGGAAAGAGGAGGAAAGGCATAGAGGAGACACGGAGGCCAGGCACTCCAAAGCGCATTGTCCCCTCCATTCCCTGGGTCAGAAACCCGGTGAAGAACCTGCCCAACTGGGCATTCTGAAGGGTGGCAAAGAGGTCTATGGTTGGAGAACCGAATCAGCATGACAAGTCCTGAAAAAGAGAGGGGTTTAGACTCCACTCTGCCTGGTATACTGTGGACCAACTCAACCAGTAGGCCTGGACATTGTTGACTCCCAATATATGGTCTGCCCTGATTGAAAGGAGGTGTCTCTCCGCCCACCTCCCCAGGCATTCTGCCTCTCTCATCAAGGCCCTGGACATGGTCCTCCCTTGCCTGTTGACATGGGCCTTTGTGGCCACATTGTCCATCCTGACTAACACATGGTGACCAGCCACCATGTTCCGGAAGTGTTTCAGGACTAAGAAAATAGCCTTGAGTTCCAGCCAATTTATGGGGCACGTCCTTTCTGACTGTGACCAACACCCCTGGGCTATTTCCCCCTCCAAATGGGCTCCCCAGCCATTGAGACTGGCATCTGTGGTGAGCTGGATCCTGTCTGGCTCCTTGAAGGGAAGACCCCTCTCTAGAGCCTGGGACTGCCACCATGCAAAGGACCGAAGGACCTGAGAAGGAACCTGTACCCTAATGGTAGAATGGCTGGTTCCTGCCCATTGAAAGGGGAGCAAGAACCATTGGAGTTCCCAGGCATGGAGACAGCCCATGGGACAATCCCAATGCAGGAGATCATCTTTCCCAGGATCTGGGACAGTAGAGACAATGGGACAGTGCTCTGACACCGAATCTGACTGATGCCACTCAGTCCGGGGAGAGGAACATCTCACAAAGTGATGTATCTATAATTGCCCCAAGGTGACCTGATCGTTAGGGAAAGGTGACTTTTCCTTAGGTTGATCAAGAACCCGTGGTCTCTTAGGCTCTGCAATGTGATGTGAAGGTCGCGATGGGCCAAGTGGGTCAACTGTGAATGGATGAATATGTCGTCCAGGTAGCACTGGACCCTCACCCGTATGGTGCGAAGTGAAACTGCCAAAGCTGCCAAGACTTTCGTGAAGACCCTTGGGGCCGACGAGAGATCGAAGGGTAAAGCCTGGTAATGGAAATGGTCATTCTGATAACAAAAACAGAGAAACTGGCGATGATGAGACCAGATAGGAATGTGGAGATAAGCCTCTGTGAGGTCTATGGAGGATAGGAGGTCGCCCTCTCAAATGCTCTCAAGGATAGAATACATGTCTGCATCTTAAAACACCTGTATGGGATAAATTTGTTTAAGAATTTAAGGTCCAAGATGGCTCGCCACCCCCCAGAGGCCTTTGTGATTGCGAAGAGGCAAGAATAGAAGCCTTGCCCTCATTGATCCTCAGGAACCGGTTGAACAACTCGTATGTCAACGAGATGTTGGCTTGCCGATTCTGTAAGGACCTGTTTAGAGCAGTCCCTAGAGTAGCGAACAAACCATCATGGAGGTGGGGAGAGAAACTCCAGTTGGAGGCCCAACCTCACCGTCTCAAGAACCCATGAGTCTGATGTAGACTCCTCTCATCTGGAGGCGAAGAAAGCCAAATGGCCTCCGATGGGGGGGAGATGGGGCACTCATTTCGAGCATCTGAATTAACGACCTCCTCCCCCTCGAAAGGGCCATTTACTGGGGGACTGTTGCTGCCTGCCAGAAGCTTCAGGATGCAGGAAAGGACCTCTGACCTCTAGAACCGAGAGCTGGTTTTGGGTCTGAAAGACGAGGGGCGATACTCAGACCTTTTGCCTGCCAAAGAGAGGACCTTCTTCTTGTCCTTGGTCTCTGTCAAGTATGGTTCAAGGATGTCGCCAAATAGCTTATTGCTTATATATGGAGCCGATGCCAACTTCCATTTATGGTGGGAGTCGGATTGCCAGTTGCGTAGCCAAAGTATCTGCCTGGCCACCACTGAAGAAGCCATGGCCCTGGAAGCAGACTTGGCCGAGCACAGAGTGGCATCTGCTGTAAACTCCACCGCCACAATTGTCTTATTGAGATTTTGGTGTGCTCTGAATTCGGTGGCCAGGAGCCCCTCCTAAAGTTGGTGAAGCTAGGTCAGTGAAGATCTCGTAAAAAACAAGGCTGCCATTGATGCTCTAATCACCCAAGCCACTGCCTGGTGAGTGCGCTTGAGGGTTTGCTCAGACCGTTTGTCCTCTGCCTTGAGCACATCCTCTGGTTCGGTGCCTGAGAAAGAAACGATGCCACCACCGGAGCATCCACCAAAGGTACCAGCAGGGCATTGGCCAGGGATGGGCCCATGTTATAGAATCGTCTGTGGTCTTTTCTTTCTCCTCAAAGGGGCTTGGGAGTCTTTTGAGTCTTCCAGTCCTTTGGGGACAGGTTGGGGGGCTTCCCTCTTCATCTGGCTAACAGGGCAGACACCAAGGATGCTGTGAGCTTCCCCCACATAGGTGCTGCCCGTTGCCTAGGCCAGGAGAGTCAGGAGACTGTGAGGCCTTGGGGAAGCACTTTCCCCCAAAACAAAATGGCCACTCAGCAATTCTAAAATGGCTGCCCACCATGTGGGGTGGCCCTGGGACAGCCTAGCCACCGTCTTCTCCTTGGGCTCTTACCAGGCCCCGAGTGATCGAATTAAGCCAGAACAGCTGAGAAGCGGCAGGAACTAAGTTCCGGAGTCAGCTGTAAAGCGGCTTGGCTGGCAGCAGCAACAACAAGGTTGCAATCAGTGGGGCTGCGTAGGAGGTTCCTCCAAATGTTCCCTGGGTCCGCAGTGCTTGTGCAGCAGTGCCAAAGCCTTGGCACTGCAGGAGAGTGGATCCCTGCTCTCCTGGAGACAGAGCTCTACCGGATCCCCAGGAGTTGGATTTTAAATTATTGCTGTCTCTTTGAGTTCAAACTTTTCCTTTAGCTGTTTAAAAGCACTTCTTCCAGAGACTATGCTCTCAGACAAGAAGCTGAGCCAAAAGATGGATGGGCCAGCCAGAGGCTGGTTTTTTATAGTGGCACACTCAGCTCTATGACGTCAGAAGGAGGAGCTTAACCTATTCCTGGACTCTTGAGGCAGCGTGGATGAGAATTGAGGACTATCTGTAGTACTGAAGGCAATATATAGACATAATGACTAATTGCCTTTATTAGTCTTATCCCACATATATGAATGTCCCATTCTTTAAAATTGATTACGTCACCACTTTTTCTAAGTGCTCCTTTATTCTACATTGTTTAATTATTTGAGACATTTGTACACATCATGATTTGGAGTTTATCAGCACTTTTAGAATGTGATAAAGTGTCATGGGGATCCTCAGAAAAAGGATGGCTGTCCTATTGGGTGTATCTAAACACAAATACCTATTTCACGGAAAGGCACACTGCACAGGCTAGATGTCACTCTTCTCAAACCTGAATATGGAAGACATGGGAGCAGGGTCCTCAAATGCAACCTACTCTTTTGAATTTATTTTGTTCTCTCATTATTATCCAAAACTCTTTCAACCAACTCTCTTAATACAGTAAGCTGTGTTTACATTTACATGAGTCATTCACTCCTCCTGACCACCATTCTCACATTCATTCTCTTCTTAGATATAAATGGGCAGAAGAAATGTTGAGTAACAGAAGGAAGAGGAGAAGAAGTGGGAGTTGCTAGCTGACCTTTATGTTGGGAAGAGTTTGTGTATCATTTACAGTAAGCTTTGGCTCTCTTCCCTGCGCCGATCATTGTTGAGCAAATCTGCAGTTATTTTGCAAACAAAGAGCAGAATGAGTGGAATGGAAAGGCAGGTTTCTAATCCAAAGGAATTATTAAACTACAAATTAACACAGGGTAACAAGTGTCTACTCAGCTGTGCAGGTGGAACAAAGACAAGAAGACAAAAATGGTTGCAAAACAGTTTAGGCTATCTCCAAAAATCAGGCCTCATTAGGCCATTGAATGTGTATGCGGTCAACTCTGCCTCACTATTCCATACATCACAATCTCTCGCCAAACACTCCAGGCCATAGTTCAAAGAATTAAACCACAGGCATTCTCAGCATGCAACCTGCTGAGAAATATGAGAAGAACATGAGGAACTAAACAGGCAGCAACAGTGCAGTGTAGAATTTGGAATCTAGTTCACAAGCGCCTGTTTATTATATGGGGCTTGATGGAATCCTACAAGTAGACATGGAACTGAACAAAGGGGTATTATCAAATTGTCCAATTCCATTTCACTCCTTATATAATGTAGGAAATGAATAGTTTGACATAGTACATTCCCCCAACTTAAATGAATAATATTGGCAAGCTACAAGAAGGGGACGCACATTCTGCTTTCTTTGCGGATAAAAGGGGAACAAAACACTAGATGTTATGGTGACCTGTTGTTCAAAGTCATACTATGGCCTGCCTTCAAAACCATTAATGATAAATTAATGTTGGGACTCAGCCAAGAGGGTGATCCTTCTGCTTCCAATCAATTATAATTTTTTTTAAAAAATGCCTTCCTTTCGCAGTACCCAAAATATCTTCCTGAAAACTGAGGCTTCTTGTAAGAGTTCAAGAGCCATAAACTAGTAACTTAACAATAGCAAATACAGAAAGCTAATATTATTTATAATAATATAATATACTGAACACACTTTAGGACTTAAATTCCATCCAAGCCTCATTTCACCCAATGACTAAGTGTTTTCTACTTTCTTCTCTGCTAATGCCAAGCGTAAAAGCAACCCTGTCATCTGAATCCTTCAGCCTCAAAAACATCAGCATTCCTTCCTGCCACTGTTCCACTTGTTGATTTGCTGCAGCATATCAGACAGGTGTGTGTGTGTGTGTGTGTGTGCGTGTGTGTGTGTGTGTGTGTGAGAGAGAGAGAGAGAGAGAGAGAGAATGGTTTGGGCCCCTCCCAAAACTATCTGACTGTTCAGCACCCATGTGAGTTGTTTCTAGCGTCTGCCGGAATTGCCTTACCTGCAAAGGAGCAACTCACTGCCTTTCCCTTTTCCTCTCCTCTTTGCTTTCTCCAAGTGAGCTTGCTGGTTAGGGAGGAAATTTACCATCTCTTGGCTTAGAGACAGGGACACAGACCCTGGTTTTACTGATTAACTCAACTGTACCAGCAGCAGTGAATGAACAATAGAAATGGTACTTAAACAAACATTCATGTAGTGCACTTACGGCTGTAGATAGTCTATGCAGTGTAATGAAATGTGCAGTGTAAGAAAATCTTGTTTCATCTGTTTCATCTTTGTTCCATTCTGCTTATTATTAATGTATGGTTACAGAAAGTAGGTTTTCTGATTCAGGCATGCATTACAAAGTATTCTCAGCAAAGAAGAATATTAACTGATGATTAATTCCAAAATGACTCCATTTTTTTTCTTGAAGAATTTAGTGCAATATAATTTTTTTTTGAGGGCCACACAAAGTGACGGAATACAACTGATTTCTCAACAGGAGAAAGCGTTTACATTTGTTCCCTATTTGATGCTTCTGAAAGAATCAGGAACGAATGTATTTGTTTATGTTCTTCACCCTTATTTTTGCAAATTGGCATAACATTAAGAAGGCCATTCACTTTTGTTCCTCTCATATCCAGGTTTTACCAACATTGTTAACACAGCCTAATTAAATTCCTGAAGTATGAAAAGCTGACCAGGGGAAATTTCTTATTTAGATGGTACTAAAAATAAAATGACATAATGCAAGGGGGTGGGTGGGAATAGATGCATTCTCAAACATTCTTTTTACTGTAAGAAATCCAAGTATATTAAAGAGCAGATAGACATCTATAATTATGGTAACCTCGTGATCTCTTTTGCTCCCATATCCTAAGTAACTACCAATAAAACTGTAATCAGTATATATAAACAACACAAGAATGTTGAGCTCTGTTATTATGATCTTCCTCTTCAGGAGCAATCCCCATCTATCTTTATAAAGGAAGGTAATTGTTGTAGCAAGTTAGCAATCACATGCTGGGTTACGTATATCATTAAGCAGTCCTTCCTCATTCCAGTCGTCCTGAAAGATAGGCTTTGCAAAGCTCTTTTCTCTGCAAAGAGAATCACAAGATGCAAAGGGTTCACAGTACAAACAGTGATTGCACTCTGCGAATAAAGGACAACTCCAAATCTGTTGATTCTGACTGGGTTTGATTTACAGTGGCACACAGAACTATCAACATTTCATTCCACAAAATACTTGAACACTCTATCCTTGAGCACGTGCAGAACAGCAAAAGCAGGCATATTTTTAAAACACAGACTAAAAAGCAAAATAGGCTTTAGCATATGCAGACAACTTTTCTTGCTGGTAGAAATCACTTTGAAAAAGCAGTAAGGCCAAATTATGTTTTGGGGAATGAATTGGTTTAGTGATTTAGTGGTTTAATCACTAAGTGATTAAACACTCTGCCTATAAAAGAGCCCTGTTTTAATCCCTGGCACCTCTGGGTTGGACTAGGAAAGATTCATAGACCATATTCAGTGGTTTTGCCATACTCGCCCCACCCTCCAATCTTGAACCCAGCAGGATATCATGTTGTCCTAAATCTATCTGCAATCTGCCCTTATGAGGAAAGGGGCTGTGTTGCTGTCCATAAAGTTTTAGTGTACAAGCTTCTAAGGGCTGTGATTCAAACTCTTGGTCAAAATTCCAGTTCTACCCAATGTTATCCAGCACATGAAATGCTTATCTCTAATTCTTTGAAATCATAGGCCAGCCATTTGACTCTTCAACCTCTTGACCACTTCCTCTATCATTCATTCATTCATTCATTCATTCTCACCTTTGAGTCGGTCGTGACTCTTAGTAATTGCCTGGACAGGTCTCTACACTTTTGTTGGCAAGATTTCAGAAGTAGTTTGCCATTTTCCTAGGTTGAGAGAAAGTAATGACTCCAAAGTCATCCAACTGGCTTTGTGCCGAAGGCAGGACTAGAGCTCACAGTCTCCCTGTTTCTAGTCTGATAAGTTAACCACCACACATAAATGCCTCAACTATTTACTTATTTGTTTGTTTGATGTGGGTTGGTTGAATCAATACTGACTCCTGGCAACTGCCTGGAGAAGTCTCTGAGAAGCCACAGGCAGAGCTAGAAATCATAATCTTCCAGTTTCTAGCTGAGTGCCTTGACCAACTACATCACTCCTTGTTGACCACTAATTGGGAGCAAAGAGTTGGGGATTTTTCATCTCATGGTTGGCATCCAGTGGTTGCCAGCATGCAGCCAGTAGATACATACTGCTTAGGAAAAAAAGGTTTAGCCATTGAGACTAGTGTGGCAACTATTACTCTTAAAGCATAATGTGAGCAGAGGAATTCCATAGGAATTCTTTGCCAAGCAGACTACAAAAGTATAAGAACTGATTCCTTTCAATTACATCCCAAATTATATACATTAAGGCAGGCATGGGAAGGTTAGTTTCAAGGCTTTCTATTTTGCATGCTTCCTACTTTCTACCAGTTGGCCAATACATTTAAATACTGTTATATACAGTATGTATATAATGGCCACAGAAGCTAATGTTTAATCTCCCTTGCTGCCAAGAGGACAGAAGGGTAGGTCAAGAGATCAGGGACCAGACTGAAGTGGGTAATCTCACAGGAAATCAGCAGATCAGTTGAAACCAAAAGATTGTCACATGGAGCACATCACTTGAGGCAGTTTCCCTAATGCCTATGTTTCTGTATATATTGCCTGCACAAAGTATAGCATTTTAAGATGGGATTTTAGGGAACACACCATCTTCAGAGCCTAGAACCTTAAACTGTCCTCAGCTGTGGGATGACAGTGAGATACAGTTGGAGGCAGGTGGATATGCACTCAGGAAATGATTTCTAGACTGTCCTTCCACCAGGACAAAAGGCTGAGTAGATTTGTCCAGATACCACTTAGTTATATCATCCTTTCCCCAACTTTGCATTCTTCAAAATGTGCTGGGACTTGCAACCAGAATGGAGATTTCTGAAGGCCAACCAACTAGGAATTCTGGAAATTGCAAAATGACCATAAATGACATGGAAGACAGTCTCATTGTTAAAGGGTCCCCAAGCAATTCAAAACCATGGCAAGGCAATACTGGATTTTAAATATAAATAAATAATTCTGTGATGATAGAAATAGTTTTTGAAGCTTTACCAAAAGCCCAATACTGTGCATAACAGCATATGCAGTGTGTGTGTGTGTGTGTGTGTGTGTGTGTGTGTGTG